GAAGCAGGACCTTTAGGGAACCCCATGCCATCACGCATCACCGAGGTTAGCTGTAAGTCCGTAGTTCTGTAGAAGTGCTGGCTTGTTCGCCACGAAAGCATCCTGTCTCTTCGGCATGTTGTGCACCACAACTTCAGCCTTCTCAGGGATGTGCTCGTCAGGAGCTTGCACTCAGATAGGCGACGGCACAGCAGCATGACATGAGCCACTTTCATGTCAGCACCAGCAGTATCAGCAGCAATGGCCCACTGCAGGCGGCAATGACCGACATAGCATTAGGAACATCCGGAGTGGCAGGCGGACTGATGTGGTTAAGGATTCTTCTGCCACCAGCATCACCACCGCCGCCGCCACCGCCACCACCACCGCCACCACCACCACCACCACCACCACCACCACCGCCACGCAAGACTGGTCATTCCCGTCCCAATCCTGCTTCTTGAGGTAGTGTCGTCATAGAGAGAGGACGGCATTCGCTCAACAAAAAAGTTATAGCACTTAGGGAGACAGTGGTAAATAACGGCCGTGACATTGTGTGCCTTGAATGCGAGAAGCCGAGGCTAGAGTTCTTCGAGGCAGATCCAAACTATCGACATATGTCGAAGGAGGAGAAGAGCGTCCTAGCCACTGCCTGCTCAGTGCAGAACTTCGCGGCCGGAGATGTTATTCTGCGCGAAGGCGAAGTTGGCGAATGGATGTTTATAGTTATTGAGGGCACCGTGAAGACAGTGGACCCGCTCTCAGGCAGCATGTCAATAAGGGTTGCCTTCCCCAGGTTGTGCCGGTGCCTTCCCCAGGCTGAAAGCGCCGGTTCCTCTCCACCCCTTTTCTGTGAGAGGTGCTGGGAACGCCCACCAAAGTCTTCCTCTGCAAAATGAGTCTGAGAGCTGAGGTTTGGGAATTCGGAAATTCGCAAACCTGGCACATTGCTTGGGAGCTCCGGCGTGCCCCTTGGCTCTGCCAAGAATGGCTGTTGCAAGCAGACATTGCTGGCGGGTTGTTAGGGTCGGCTCTTCTTGGAAAAGGCTTCTCGGGTTTCCACAAAGCATGCCCTCCCCCATAGGCTACTAATTGTTGGGTTGCATCGTTTGGTTAACATATGTCCCGCTGCTAGTTTTGGTGCTTCTAGAGTGGCGCACTTACAGTTGCCGCTGGGTCCAGAAACTCGAATATTTCATGCTCGTAACAGCCTTAACGAACGGATTGAAGCCAAAAGGCAACTTCCCCGCTTGCAATCGCACCGGGATACGTGTCAGAGGGAAATGAAACTTAGGCCGGTACGCCTATGCTTTCTTACTGTCTATTCCGTGCGCTTGTTCGACCCGATTTCCTTCAGCGCATAGTATGACAGAGTCACATGTTCTTGACCCTGCTCTCAGTCGTATGACTGACGAATGCCAGTGCCACAGGTTGTTTTTAATGGCGTAGGCATGCGTCGTGCTGGTGATTGGTAGTAAGTTACAAATCCTCATACCATTCGTCGCAGAAAGGATTGTCGACTTATTGCAAATGCCTCTGTGCGCAAGATCCGGCTGACCACAAAGTTCTGGGGCGGTTCCCAGCCAAAGTCTTACTGCTCCAAAACAGAAAGCGTCGCCGAAAGCCTGCCCTCTCCAAGGATGTACTCCAGTTTGACGTGCAGTGGCGCCACTGCAGTTGACAAAGTGAAGCGGCCTCAGAATTCTCAGCGCTCTGGTCCGATCACGTCTTTACAGGAAGCGCAGAGTTTTCATGTGGCTCTCAAGTGAGTGACAGCAGGCATCAACAGCTGCAATTGCCAGCGACGCCCACCCAGGAAATCCCACATCCCCCCCAGCCTTCAACTCCACAGTTCACAGTCTGGTCTGGAAAATGCGTTGACCCAAGATTAAGGACTTGCCTGGCCCTGGGCAGAAAGTCGCTGGAGAGCCTGCTCGGTCCAGGCGGCAGTGTCCTTCGCAGAAGTGCGATCAAGGCCTTGCTGATGGACAACGCAGCCGGGACTATTGATTTTACTGGCGGGCGTGGAAACCGGGATGTGTGAGATCATGAGAGATCAGCCCGTGTGAAGACCAACAAATTGGACAGGCAACAGTAACGACTGCGTTTGTTTGACTGCAGTCAGCTTGCCCTGGCTTCCGTGCCAAGGTAGAGCATGTAGACTACTTCAAGGAGCTTTCCGATAGCGAGCTGCACAAGGCAGGTCTTCACAAGCTGCGAATGATAGTGACTTTGAGGGTGTTGGGAGGTGACCCGCACGTTTTCAACCGGAGGAAGTTGAGCTCAGCTAAAGGTGGAGCAGCTGTGAAACAGTTGAACTTGCAAGTTTCTAGCGATGCTGCTGGGGCAATGAAAATGACAAGTTCACTCATCCAACCCTGGGATGGGGAGTGTATAATAATCCAGCTCTTGGCATGTCCCTGCTCGGCTTGTTTGATGGTTTTCTATGGTAAAACGATAAGAAGAAAATGAAACGACAACAACACAACATCCGCAAGTTTGACGGAACGACGATAAGAATAAAAATAAAGATAACGACATTCATGGATAAGGGGTTTTACACGGCTTCCTTATACAACCGCAGGTGGTGGATTTGTTCGAGGAGACTTCCTTCCCACCCCTTGGCACGTGCCTTGCCAGAATGGCTTTTGTTTGGACTTGGAATGAGTCGGAACCGAGTAGAGCCCCAATAGGGTGCTTCAGAGCGGAAGTCGAACGCTCGGAATCGTTTCGAAGGTCATCAGCTTCAGCGCTTGACCCGTGTCCCAAGGATTGTCTCCGCTGGCGCGCCCGCTCAGCTGATCGTCGTAGTAGCCGGCAAGGCGAGGTTTGTCAACAATCGATGCGCGGCCTTGGAGCTTCGGACGGATTGGGACTGGGATGCATCACCCCGGTTGCAATCCGTGCATCATGTTCGAGCCGCATGGTTCAAGCCGGGCCGTGCCTGAGCGCATTAGGGGCCCACAGAGACACTAGGCAAGTGACCCTGGGGCCTTAGGGTCTTGCTAAGACTTTGCGGTCTGAGCCCACCGGCACCAGGAGACCTAAGCCCTAAGCATGTAGGCAGCTGGGTAAACGTGACGGTCGAACTGTTGTTGTATGCTGTTTTACTCGTTTGGTTGGTTATCCCAGTTCTGATGAGGGGAGTGTATATTACATATATAATATATATATACACACACACACAGTTAGACCAATCAGTCACAAGGTGTCTATCATTACGTGTGCGAGTGTGTGAGTCGACGTGCGAATACATGCATACACCAGTATATGTATGCATGCATGCATGTGTGTATGTGTGCACATGTTTATACATACATACTTACATACATACCTGCATACATGCACAAATCCACACATACACACAGAGATATATGTATATCTATCTGTTTACGTATAGAGGAAGTCATCACCAGCATCTGTTTACGAGATAGTTGCCCCAGTTTCACTTTAAATGATGCATTTGCTGGGTAATCGAGTCCCCTCAAATATGGGTATTTTCGTTGACTCAGATTGGAATATGGGGTTTATAAGCCACAGACCCGCAACGCAAAGCCTAGTCGAAGCATTAGTTCGCCTAACAATTTTGACAATGCGGGTGTTGACTGCAACACTCTGCCAACAGCCTGGCGATGCCATGCGGAAATATGGGGGGGGGGGGGTTGTATAATTTGGTTGCAAGTACCACTACAATCTTGGTGCTCCTTTTTGATATAGTCATTATAATATAATGTACCTCAAAACCGTATTCTGACTATTAACTCCCCTTTGTTACACTGCAAAAAAAGCGCAGGGAAGAGCACAAAGCACACGCTTTTGCTGCAGGTGGCCATAATTGGATCTGACACTGAGGAGGCGCAAGACGCAGCCACCTTGGAAAAGCAGGCATCGGCTGGAGTCCAGCGAGTTTTCGACCTTCTGTGTCCTTGTACTAATGGCTCTTGCTTCGAAGCCCGACACCTGTTTACGAATGTGCATCCAGTTGGGTGAGGAAGCATCTTGCGAGCGAGTCTTGTCATGCCACGCTCGCCTTGTCGCGCGGAGGCCGTAAATGTTCTCCTGCCGGGGCAAGTGCATGGGGCACGGTCCCTTCTCAACAATACTCCGATGGAGTACAAGTTGCTTGACTCGCGGGGGCAGGAAAGGAGTTTCATAGCCGGAAGGTTGAGTTTCATGCCCAGGCTTGTTTATAGAGATTCGAGCTTGAAGGCTCCGGGCGAAATGCGCCGAGGTAATTGCACAACAGGCGGTTGTGATACCGAAAGGCGGTATTTTGCCGTGATATCAGGACGCAGTAAACTCAGGGCCCAGACTACACAAGCCTTAGTGCGTGTGTGACACCGTACAGGACGTCCAGGTGGCGCGTGTGCGAGAAACACCTGCGTGCTGCATTTATGTTGGTTTCAAGCAACCCCAAAGATCAGACTCAGACTAGTGGCACGTGGGACTTTGTCCGCGTTCGGTTCACGTCAGTTCACTGCAGTCCAGAGATTTGCAGACAGAAGTATAGCTGTGCAGAAGGCTGGACGGTGAACGGACGTCCTCACGGAGTTTGTGTTTCGAGACAGTTTTTTTGTTCCCGTCCGTGGCGAGTGGAGCTCAGGGGATTCTACATGGGTCATCGGAGTCCTAGATAGTCAGCGTCCTGAGGCTTGTGGCTTTGGAAGGCACTCAGCTGCACCGTGTGTCGCACGGCATGGTCTCGCAGATCTTGGGTGGCAGCTTGGTGTGGTTTTTAGTTGAGAATGCTCAGAGATTACAGGATGTTTTCCTGCTGGACGAGTGCGTTGTTGGTTTCAGGTGTGGCATGTGATAAATGTCCAGGTCAGGTGGCATTTGTTGAATTCTCCAAACGGCACGAATTTGATTGAACTGCTCATGGCATAGCATGTTGTCATCGGCAGGGTCGGGCGAGCGGTTAGGCTGGCGCGATGGGGGGTGGGTGGGTGGGTCTCATGGAACACGAGGGGGAGGGGGGGGGGGGGGGGGGNNGGCGGAGGTAGCATAAGAATGAGGTCATATAAGTGTAAAGAGATGTATGTGGGGGGTCCACGAACATGTACGTAAATATGAGTCCTGTATCCGTACATATATGGAAGCAACGAGTAGAGTCGTGTGCAAGAGGCGGGTGTGGATCTTGGGCTTCCCGGTGGGGCCACCGTGTGTATATATGTGTATCTACTTTCACCCATAAACAAATAGCGAAAAATAAGTAAATACATATATATAT